TGTTCAACAGTGGTGCTATGGGAGAATTTCCGTCCGCGCACTCTTACCGTTACGTGTTCTACCGTGGCTTCGAGCGTGCGTGCTCTTTCGTAGCCCGTGCATTTCGGCATGCTGGGGTGTCTACGTAGTAAGTTCCCTTCTGTGACCCGTACGTTTAGCTCCCGTCATATTCTTGTCCTTCTGTCCTTTTCATGGCTACGTGCACTTCCATCTTTCACGCTACGTAAAACACTTCGTGGTTTGCATCGGCTAAGTCTTCTATCTTTCGTGCTTCGTGTTGCTCTTCTATCCCATCGTCTACACAGGGTGGGTCGATGTTCCTTCGGGCTTCGTGTTCTTGCTTAGTCACGTGCCTCCGCGCTAACTTAAACACAATAGCTGTTCCCATTTTGTTTGATGTACGCAACATATATTGTTGGAAAGCTCACGTAATATCTTAAGGTCACACACTACGCGCGTAAATACAAAGGAAGGTGATATTTCTCCTGGAGGCGGTGTGGGGTGCAGGGGTGTAAGCCACAATAGTCATATTCTAAAGTTTTCACATTATTATTAATAGTAATACAATTGCTATTTATTATTAAACGCTGATATAATTATTATGTGTACTACTACTACAAATGACTGCAAGCCAAAATATGAAATGCCTTGATAATAGTACTAAGAAAAATAATATTGTAAGCTAAATTAGTACAGCAGTACTACGAAGCCTAAAACATCATTGTATGTCCAATAAGTACTAAAGTTTCGATTGAGGCCGAAATATAAGTCACCAAAGCCTACACTGTTTTTCAGCAGCTCCTACGACGATATAGTACGTGTGTGCTAATCGGCGCCTTTTAACTGTGCTAAATAACGCGTACACAGGCAGCTCCCTTTGCGGGCCTTGCATACCGCAGCTGAAAATGAGAGCAAAATGAAATTTAAGTGGCGCTTTTAAGTACGATGCGTAGTCCACATATAGTGTGTAGACCACATAATGCGATTTTAGCCAATCGACGCCGCCTTCGCTGCGCTCGGCAGCCAGTAGAACGCCCGCATTTGCGTTACAGTAATTAACCCTAGCCGTGGACGGACTGACGGACAACACACTCCACTAGATGGGGTAGACTAGCCGTTCGCCGCCGCTACGCGGCGGAGTGAAATGGTTTGTTGGAGAAGAGGTGGCCGCAAATTTAGCGCTCTTGGCTTCGCGTGCTTTGTCAGCGTCGTTCACCCAGTAGATCTTGGATTCGTGTACTTAACCGCTTACCTTTCCGTAGTCTCATCCGGCCCCGAATAATATCGTGGTTTGGTACGTTTCCGTTACCCCGTACTACAGGTTGGATGTTGTGGCCCATGCTCTTCCGTGCTCTTTCTGGCTTCGTGGTTCCCTGCTCACCCGTGGCACACGCAGCTTACTGGGTTATCGCCCTCTCTTTTGGGATCATGCTCTTTAGTGCGGCCTTTTTGGTGGCTGCCAGATATTCCCTGTTCTCAAACGTTTACGTGGGCTGCACGGGTTTTGTGGTACGTAGTCTTTCGTGGCCATTGGCCTCCCATCGCCGGTACTCTAGCCGAAGGGTGCTCTTCCGTGGTTTAGTGTCTCCACGCAGTCGTGTTATTCCGTCGCCCGTGTATCGTGCTTGCCTGGTGAGGCTCCATCGACCGCGTTATCACGCCGTCGTGCAATTGCGGTGTGGTAGTGATATTTATGGTATTGTGCTCGCGTAGTGCATCTGCGTTGCCCGTGTTATCGTGCTCTACAATGGCATCGTGCTCCACAGTGTGCAGTCGTGGTCACCCCAAGCGCCCCCTCCCCGTTTATTTCGTGGCTGGCCCGCCGTTCGTGCAATTTAGTTCTAATGTAGTACTGTCCTCCGTGGCTCGGTAAGCTCAGGTTCAGCACTGGTATCGCTCTCCGCGGCTCGACGATTTTCTGACTATAGCTCCGCGGCTGCGTTCTCCCATGGCATAGTGGCCCAGCCCATGCTATCTAGTTATCTTGTGGTGTCCCGGTTGATCTGCCGTTTGTGCTTCGTATTTTACCGTGCTTCGTGGTCTACCGTGTTGTATCGTAGGTGAGTTTATTTCCGTGCTCTGTAGCAGCTACGTGTTCTAGCCCGGAAATTCTAACAGAGTCCGTGACTCTTAGTGCTTTCATAGATTTACATGTTAATTGCATCGGCCCGCTTCCGTGCTTTGTAGCTCTGTGTCCATATTTGTTTCTCCTCCATCGTACATACTGTTTCTTACTGCCCTACAAATCCAGTTCGATAAGCTCGCACCTTCTCCTAGGCTCACGCCCTGTCCTAAGCTCCCATACAACGCACCTAAACACGAAAGCAATTGTGACCAATGGAAAACGTTTATTTTTAGCCAATCAGTTTTTCTGGTGATTACGCGGATGTTTGTTGCGCTGGCGAGGCTTCCAGCGACGGCGGCGGCGATTAATGCGCTCCTGGACAACACGCCGCGGCGGTTGTGGGGGGGGGCATAGCGGCGGCAACTAAGGCCAGGCTTTGTTGGCGCAAATCAGTGGCTGGCTTCGGTTCTGGTGTGCGTGGGCGGTGCCAAAACGCCTGGCTGTATGCACCTGCGGGCACCCGCTCGAGCCTCGCCCTGTGCGAATGCATCCCATGCTAAGAATTGTTCGCAACAGGCGCACAGCCGGAGCTGCAGCCCGAGACCGTCTGGCTCGAGCGGGGGGTGCACAATGACCGCCTGGCACGTCGATCACATGGGAGGTAAACGTTCCATTGGAGAAATGTTTTATTAGAAACGTTTTTATTAAATTAGTAATATTATTTTTTAAGTATTAAACTAAGTATTTCGAAGTGTTGAATTACTACTTTGCTAAAATGCGATCCAGTGGTGTCGCCAGGGTCTAAAAAAATCAACAGCGCCTACGACGATATAATAGTACTGGTGTGCACGTCGGCGAAGCCTACCAATGCAAATTAACCCGCACACACGCAGCGCCCTTTGCGTGAGGTGGCGCTCCAGCGCTAAAAACGGGGGCAAAATGAAATTTGAACGGTGCATTTAAGTACGATGTGTTGACCACATACAGTGTGTACACCACATATTGCAATTGTAGCGAATCGAGGCCGCCTTCGCTGCGCTCGGCAGCCAGTAGAATGCCCGCATTTGCGTTACATTAATTAACCCTAGCCCGTGACAGACAGACGGACAGACAACACACTCCACTAGAGAGGTAAGATTGTTCATTAGCAGAATCGAGTAAATGAATCGGCCAAAGTATTGTTTCATCCTGTCTTGATCTCCAGGGAGTCGGCAAGTTAGTATCTAGTATTATTTATTGAAATGCAAAACCGTTTTGTTTGCAACCTAATACGGCATTTTATTTGAATGTGATTTTTTTTATTATAGATTTCTGTGATGGAATGAGTCTCAGCTATCACTGGCTCCGAGAGCCGACACCTCGACCAGAACGATGAAAAGAGCCGTTCATTTCCTGATGTGATGCGTTGAGCCCATGCCGCGAAAACGCGCGCTCGCAGAAGATCAACCTGCTAGAAAGCAGCGGCCCCAGCGGGGCAAAGCCCTCAGCGACGACACTGCCAAATTGTCATCGACGCTGGATATTAATGGTGTGTGGAGAGAGCTAAATGCAGAACGGAACGCCAAAGCGGAGGAAAAAGGAAGTGGGAACGCGATGAGTGCCCACGGTTGGTCTGGTGAGGGACACGACAGTGAGACAAGGGAAGAAGGTGGGGGGGTGGTCGTCTCCACTACTGTCCGAGTCACTATTCCAAGCCGAGACCTACGAAGAAGACAAGCGCGCGCCTGGTATCGCCGGTGGCGGTGACCAAGAAGATGCCTGCGTTAGAAGAAGTAGATGCTTTCCCGCGGAAACTGGAACGCCTCGCTCAGCCGATTCGGGAGAATGGAGCGACGCTGAAAGGGAAACACCTAGCTACGAAGCAAATGTACTGGGGTTAGTGAAAGAAGCCCTGTCAGAACCTGAGACGCCTGGGTAACGAGAGTGGTTGGGTGCCGTCTTGGAGCATTTCGCTCGGCGACCTGGCCAGAGTGAGAAGCTGAAAGCGCTCGTGTCGGGGGCGCATCGAGATATGGCGCTCTCGTTCGACCCGTCGCGCTCTGGACTGACGCCCCTCAGGAATGCTGGGAGTACAAGGGAGGCAGTCACTCCGACGAACGTGACAGCGGAAGTAAGGCTCACAGGGGGAAGGACGACCCCGGGAACGGCTACACACCTTTCGGAACGGCCTGATGGTCAGGTAGTAGCACCAGATCGATCAGCGACAACGTCTGCGAGGTCGTTGTCCACACCAGCCCGATCGGGAGCAACACCGGCTCGGTCAGTGGCGACGCCTGCCTGATCGATGACGGCGTCGGCAAGGTCTATGACCGCACCTGCAAAGTCTGTGTCGACGCCTGCCAAGTCTGTATCGACACCTGCTCGATCGATAGCAGCGTCCGCCTGGTCTGGAACGCCGTCCAACGACTCGAGACCGCAGGAGCTGGAACGCCATGCTCACGCGTGGCGGGACCAGAAGCACGCTTCACGCCTGGGTCGACCCGACTAGAACGTACGAAGCTGGAACGGCCTTCGAGCGCTCATCGAATTGAGTACCAGAGGCCTCCGATTCCTTGAGCCCCGACGCCAGCTAACGCTTTCGTGGTCAAACGCGGCATTTTGCCGCGTTCTACAAAATCCACACCTTGTTTTGTTTTAGCCAGTCAAAGCTTCGGATTACGGCTTCTGATGGGTCCTTCTGTGTCGACTGGGGAAACTGAGTTGTGAATATCGCGAGAGCGCGTTTGTTTTTCGGCCAGCATTGCGTCATATTTGCGGTTCGGCTGGTAGCCGCATGAAACGCAAGGGAAAAAGGTGTTGTAAACAAGGCTAGCAGATCCTAAAACCTATCATGAAAATTTGGTCGAGGCCTCAGCCCCAGAGCCACTAATCGTGCTGGTTTCAGCTATAGTATTCCTAGGCTACCTGCATGCCTTCTCTCTCAGTATGTTTTGCTATGCGGGCCAACTTCACAAACGCACAAGACAAACGAATTGTAGCGCTTGCACTCGAGTATGAATCCCAACACAAGCGAGTAGAGTGGAAAGAGGTGGTACGGGCCATGAGGAGTACACATTCTGTCCAAGCGCTTGGGAGCCGGCTGCGTGTTCTGAAGCGCACGTATGGACGTGATCTATCTAGATTTCCACGTCGACGCCAACATTCTCTCACAAGCAGCATCTTCGTCGTCTAGAACCGAGCCAAGCAGAAGGAGCTATTTGGAGTGGTATCGCAAGACGCTGGCCTCGACGGGCGCGGGTTGCGGGTTTTCTTCGAGGTGTTCATTGTTTGCTAGCGGATGCACCAAGGCTGCTATTACTCCACAACGTGTTTTTGAGCCAAGGAGACGTTTTTGATACGCGACTTTCGTCGCGCTTACCATTTCAGCGTGCATCAATAGTTTTTCTAAACGATTTCCTATTTGATGAATTAGCAAAGCAGGCCGTACAAGAGCAGCTGTATATGATGCCGAGAGTACATTTGATCGTTTCTACGTCTCGCTATTGTCCTCGCCATCGCGATTCCTGCCGAAGAAGTCTTTGCTCCAAGTGGAGGTTCGCGAGAACCACGTATGGACGGAGTAGCTGGAAGTCTCCTCCAATCCCGATCTACATGTACACGACTGTCCAGTAACTGGAGATTATAGTGCGTTGATGCTGGGGCGGTCATTGAGGCAAGTATCACGGGGACAAGGCAGGCAAGTGGCCGAAGACGAGCGAGGACGTGGCCTTCTTCACGCTGTCGGTCAAGTTTAACAAGGCACTGGACAGCAAGGGCAAAGACATGTTCCTGTCTTACCTAGACCAGCACGAGACGAAGGTGGCCTATGGCAGCTCGTACGTGAAGCTGTTTTCCGCGAACATGGGCAACGTGTATGCCAAGCTGCCACCCGCGGGCGTGGACCACGCGTACAGCAAGCGGCTCCCCGCGGGCGTAGAGCCCGCATACACAGGCGGCGAGTCGCCGTAGGTGGTCACGTTCGAGCTGGTCATCTGCGGCAGCACCCAGCGCCTGCGCTCGCTCGTGCTCGGGAAGGTCAGCACGCACGGGTCCAAGACCGACGGCAAGAGCGTCACTGAATGAGTGCTGGTCAAGCAAGGCCCGGTCCTTCCTACCGAAGAAGCAAGTCAAGAACCTCAACCTGTTCGAGACCAAGGACAGGGTGGACGCCAATCACGTCCCAGGCCCGCAGGACAAGAAGCCCGCGGACTACGACGACACCCCAAGACCATCTCGGACCTGGTCGATGAGAAGCCCGAGGACTGGTACGATTAGGACGACGGCGAGGGGAGCCCACCATGATCGAGAATCTCGCGTACAAGAGCGAGTGAAAGCCAAGCTGCACCATGTTCGACGACAGCCTGATCATGGACAGCGAGAACAACTTCAAGGCCCACGCCATGACGAAACCATTGGGGAGCGAAATGCCACAGCAGCTGGCATAATACAGTTTATCTAGAACAGAGACAACGGCGGCAATAGCTTAATCAAGATATATTCACGTTTACGCAAAATTTTGCCGTGTGACTCTACTCTGATGGTTCGGTGGGCTCTGCTGAGGTTGTTATCTGCTTTCACTTTGTTGCCCTGGTGTCCGGTGCTAATACAGAGTATCTAGAATAGAGACAACGGCGGCAATAGTTTGTTCAAGATATATTCACGTTTACTCGAAAATTTGTCGTAAGACTCTAGGGATACGGAGTATCTAGAACAGAGACAACGGCGGCAATAGTTTAACCAAGATATATTCACGCTTACACTAAAATTTGTCTTGCGACTCTAGTCTGTTGGATCGGTGGGCTCAGCTGAGGTTGCTGTCTGCTCTCACTTTGTTGCCCTGGTGAACGGGGCTCATCTAATAGGCTGCGTTGACTCGCTAGATCGTCTCCGCCTGGTTTGGTAGCGCATTTGCATTCTACGTTGAGCTTGGCCAACGTTGAGGACCTACGCAGACTCCCTTTTTTTGTTGAAAAGGCCACTTTGAAGATAGAAGCGGTGAAACTTGTCCCAGCAGGTCCAAGTGCTCTGTGGGCAGTTTCAGCGTCACCGTGCACAACTCGGCAAAGGCACGCGGTATTAATTATACAGTAATCAGTTACCTCAGTCGCGTCTCTTCCTTCATAGCGACAGACAACGCACCCGCGCTTCCTCCTGCTCTTATTCCTGTATATTTGCTTTGACGATATCGCCTCACACGCTTCTGTGGCAACGCTGCTGCCGAACTGCATTCGTTTGTCACTGAGCGCTTCTCGCCATCGATCCGAAATGAGCTCTGATACCAAATCCGTAACAAACATCCTGTGGGGGTCCCGATCTCTTGACGTATCGATTGCCATCCGCCGAGTCAAGTACGCGTTGGAACGTGCGATATCCACGAGTGCTAAGGCCAATTTTTTGTGTCAACGTTTGTAGGAATGACCATCAGCGATTGAGAATCTAGCACGTATCTGGTCAAAACGGTCAACACCTTGCATGTGTTGATTGTATTTTAAAATACAGGTGGGAGCAGGAAATGCACAACTTGAAGCTCCAATTCGTCGTGTCACCATAGTGGCGGTAGATGAATCAGCATTGGTGACCATGGTGACAATGTTGCCGTCGCACCATGACGCCGCCAGCATGTTATGGTTGACAGCCACTGACGGCTGATAATTACATCGAGAGCACTCCTCTTTTTGCAGAACGGTGTGCTTAGGATAACGTTTGCTTCTGCCCCGCACTGTTCCTCGCCCGTACAATCCCTTCAGCTCTAAATCCAGCAGCAGTTGGGCGCTTGTGTAGTAGTTAGCTATGTTTATAATCCGTCGAGAAAAAAAGTATGGTCCCACCAATTCAAGTACATATTTGCGTACTTGTTGGACATCATCTGGCTCCTCACGGAGTTGTTGCATCTCCTCTTGGCTCACCACGTTCTGCAAAAGATCGGCAATTTCGCTATTGCTGCAATGCAGACGGTAATTTAAAGCAATCCATGTGGTCGAGCAGCAAACTACATACATTCGAAAGTGATACTTTCCACCAGGCTTTTTTGGATTGAGCACAATGAGGTGACGGCCGTGACGTGACCGGCAAGCAACGCTGGCTTCATCCAATGCAAGGTCACGGCCTACTTCGACGTAGCGGCCTCTGGTACACTTAAGCAAATTCAGCAAGGGTCGGATACGGGCGGCTGGATCTCTACCCATGGGCGACCCCGGTTCAGCGCGAAAGCTAAAACACCGACGAATCAACTTGAACCGACGTAAACTCATCACGTTGGCCAAACTTGTAGATGCTCCGCCAAAAATCGCGTCTTCAGTCTGGGCTCCCCAATAGTTAGAGTATTCACCTTTGTCCGTGAGCGTCATGTAGAACATGATTCCCAAAAAGACCATGAGCTTGTCCATAGTGATGGGTGTGATGATCAGAATCTGCTTGACAGCGGCATACCTGTTTGACTCCAGGACTACTTGTTTCCAAAAGTAGACGGGAATGTAGGCAAAGAAGCTCGAGCTAGCGGAATGGGCAAACAGATGATCATAAGCTGGCAATAATCGCGTCTCAGTAGTACTATCATCTGGGTGCTCGTACAGATCAGCCGGGGCTTCCATATCCGTGACGGGCTCGAATCGCATATTCTTCACTGCTTCTATCTCTGCAAGACTCACTGGCAAAACTTGCTCGGGATCGTACGTCTCGTACTCTCCTTCGGTCGACGCCACTTCAAGTTCTTCAAGTGGTGCGCCCAAATTCAACTCCTCTTCAGTGCCCTTGTCGGTCAAATCTTGCCATGCCGCTTGATTAGGTACACGCACTAGAGCTGGATGGTTCTCGATACCCCGCTGCACAGCCGTCACAGTGACGGCTTCCACCGCGTTTTGAAACTGACTATCAAGCCACATCAATTAGAGAATAACTCCATTTTTGGGGTCTTGATACGACGACATACTCGACCAACGATGTAGGCCGCTCCTACACATCTGTATACCTTATGTGTCATCCACGGCTCTTTCGACGGCAAAAAAAACGCCACCAATTTCTTGAAATAAAGCTGTTTAATCGTTGGTGTACCTAGGATACGACTGCGGGAAGTGCTGGTTCTTGGGGTGTTGGTGCCTGCTTCCGGAGTCGCAATACTTTGATTGGTGCGGCTGAGATCCTGCCGACTTGATTCATCAAATACACGGCTTAAACGGGCAAGACGCGCTGGGGGTCGTCGCCGTCTGCCACCTCCACTGACCGATCCACTGTCTTGGCTACTCACAATGTCCACGGCATCAGCGCTGCCAGGCCGTCGTCTTTGTAAGGTAGCAATCTGCCCACGTCCACCATTATCTTCTGTGTCTGCAGCGCCACCATTGCCTTCACCACAGCTTGCTTCCACATCCACACCACACGTTACCACGCCACAACCATCGTGATCGGCAGCTCGGTGGGGGCCAACACCAGCTCCAGGAGCAGATAGTTCAGCGACAGAGTACTGAATGGTAGTAACGGCTTGGTCGAGGTCACGAAAAGCTCCGGTCTGTACACCTTCAGTACCACCACCATCGTCATTCCCACCAACGCCACCATCTTGTATGGCTACTTGTTCTTCGCTGCCGTGCAACCCCCGGCGCACACGAAGACCACCTCTAGTTTGGTGCTCCTTCTGGCTGCTTGTTGTGGACTTACCACGGTCACTATAAGCACCAATGGCACGACGGACGTGGTCTCTTGGAGCTACAGATAAAATATACATTGAGTACACACATCAACACAGCGTACTCTGCAAAGCTACTGGTCATACTCATACCACGAGTGAGGGATGCACCACCAATGTTTTTGTTTTCCGAGCGTGCGACTAAGCTCTACGCGTTGTCAGCTACAGCCGCTACTACGGCTCCATCTCTGCACCATTCGTCGTGGTCGGCATTGACTGCAGTCACTTGAGCAGTGTGAGAAGCATGGCCATCTGCGTGTTCGTGTCCGCCGACAACTTGTACGACACCAGGGTTACCTACAACAACGGTGGAGGGTTTAATTAGCGCGCAAGGGGGCTCAAAGTGGCTCCGGAGTTGATCAGGTTACGATTAGGCCAAGCTACCAGAGGGGACGCTACGGAACGTGTCGCTGCGTTGACCGACGTGAGGACTGGGGATACACTCGAGATATCATTAGCAGCCGGTGTATGTACAGGTTGACCCAGTACCGGTGTTGCCGCTGGAGACGTCGAAGCTGGAAATGCCGGCTTGTCGGCAGCTTCTTCCCCACCCAGCGTGGATACACACAGTGCTGTGGGATGGCCCACGGCGAGGAGAGCAAGGACAGGCGGGTGTCGCGCGTTGTTAATGAAGAAGGGCGTCAGCTCAGTCGACGCGTGTACCGCGTTGTTCAGCGCGAGCTCGACCAGAGGCAGTAACGAGCTCTAGCTGGAGAACGACGTCGTGTAGCTTGTATTCGAGGACGCGATTTACGCTCCGTCTGGCCGTCCGTTTCCGGATGGGCTGCCGTGGACATCAACAGCTTCGAGCCCAGTAACTCGAAGGGCTTTGACCAGAAGGCCGACGTGAAGCGCGGGTCGCGGTCGGAGACGTTGGATTCAGGAAGGCCATGATGGCGGAAGACCGCATTGATGAAGTGCATCGCGGTATCTGCCGCGGTGATCGAATCCG